CTATTTATCAATTAAAATACGTTTCGGTGTATTTTTCTACCATCATCAGTTTTTATGTGTAGCGTTGTTGCTACTTTAAGCCTTGGCATACATTTTCTATGTATAAAAATGTGTATTGTGTGTTATTCCATCTGACTTTCCATGTCCACTTCGTTTCGAAATAAAGCATGCTGGTACTTGCCTAGTTTCATACTATTGCTTTACCAACTGTTATGTTCTCCGGTTTTGTATGAAGTCTGATTGTTCGTTATCTGTGAAACCTACAAGTCATTAAAATTTTCTTAGCTAGTGATAGGATTTGGCATGTGACCAAATTTCTAGTAAATTTTACAAACATTTTTTGAACTCATTCACACCTACCGCCCTGGTTTAAAACAAATTGCATTTGTATTGCCCGCAGAACTACCGAAGTACCACCGTCGCAACCAATATGAGCTGTATTTGTGCAATTACGGGAAGTAGGAGAACAGAAGTTTAGAGGAAAACGTGGAAACATCAGAAGGACAGGCTTCTTTGAAAGTTGCTTGCGCTTTTTGCCAAGATATGAAAGTACAGGTCCTAACAGGCAACACCAGTAGCGAACCTCAACCATTAGCGTTAATGCCAAAATTTGACGATCAATGTCATACCACCCCTACATATGAAGGAAATAACAATAAAAAAAAGAAGGGAAAATAAAACCAACCTCAATGTGAGCGATCATCAAGTTTTGCGCCAACTGATCACTCACATGGAAGTATGCCCCCAAACTAAACACCACGGGGCAACAACATACAACAATGAGAGACGATCAGTAATTTATCTAGCTGACACGGTGAGTACAAAGCAATTGAAGATTACTTTGCACTAACATTTGGTGGACTTTTACCACCTCCAGAATACTGAACAGAAGTATTCTTTCCAACCCCGATGTAAGCGATCATCAAGTTTTGCCCCAAGCTGATCGCACACACCAGGGTACGCCTCTATCTGTAAAGCGCAATGAACATAAAACAACCAAACGATTCAGAAGAAAAATAAAGGGGTGAAACAACTGAATCGAGACAACACTCGCAACCGTCAAATAGAGAGAGAACCAGTTAGCAGGAAAATCCAATTAAGCTAACTAACGACATCAGCATCGGAGCTAAAGCGGCCGGAATGCATAGGTTTTAGATCTTGGACATGCCATACGCCTTTACTGACACCGGACTCGTCCTGAAGCTCGTAGGTACAAGTACCTGTCCTTTTGCCTATTATAAACGGGCCCACATATTTCGGAGGTAACTTGGCACTAAAATAATTTAAGGCATTGGATATTACCTTGTTTCTTGGAAGAACCTTTTCGCCAACAACATACGTAACAGGACGCCTCCGCAGATTGTATCTATTCCGATATTCCCAACAGGCTGATGCAATCCTCCGACTAATTCGCTCATACATCTCCCGATAACCCTGGACCCGACTCTGAACATGATGTTGCGGTTCAGTATTGGCCGACGGAACTCCTGGAACAAAATCGTTTCCAAACAAAACTTGTTCTCTTCAAAAATTTACGAAATAAGGGCTGTACCCTCTTACCTCATGACGTGCGGTCCGTATGGCACAATCAATGGCCGGCAAGTTATCTTCCCACGATCGGTGATTGTCCTGTTGTACGTAGGACTTAAACATGGTTTTGATCACGCGATTAGTCCGCTCTGGGTGATCAGCTCGAGGATAGTACGATGCGGTGTAAAATAAATTAACTTTGTACCTAGCACAGAGAGACTGAAACTCTTTGGATTTCATAGGGGTGCAATTGTCGCATGTTAAGTGTTGCGGAGCTCCATACACCAAAAAGATTTCCTGCTCTACGAATATCACCAAGGCTTTAGAATTAGCCGAACGGCATGCAAACAGGACTACGTATTTGCTGAAGTAATCCGCCACGACAAGGATGTGGGTATTGCCTTGTTTCGAGCGAGGCAAGGGGCTAACAAAATCGAGGCTGATGGACTGCTAGGGTTGAGTAATTGGTGGTCGATTTCCCATTAACCCAGCGGGAGGCTTTTGCTCAACTTTAGACTGAGCACAAACTTCGCAACGGCGAACGTAAATGATAACATCGGATCTAATTTGCGGCCAATAGTAGCGTTCAGCGATCCTCATAAACGTCTTGTATATTCCCAGACGACCAGAAGTTGGGAGGTCGTGACATCGATGAAGAATATATTTCCGGTGATCTTTGGGGACTACCAGTTTCCAGCGATTTGTTCAATTGGGGAACTCAGGGTGCCCAGAGCCAATCAGCTTGTACAAAAGACTATCCTCAATTCGCCAACAAGAATATTTCTCAGGATGTTCCTCCAGTCTGTGGATCATCAGCTGATACCATTTATCCGTCGAATTCGACCAAGCGGGTGGAACGCAATCCTGCACGGAGCGATACCCTCGACACTAACAGGCACAGGCCGATAGAGAAAATCGGGTACGACGTGGTCTTTACCTTTCCTATGGATCAGCCTGAAGTCGTACGGTTAAAGCCGAAGAGCCCTACGAGCAAGCCGTCCTTGGGGATTCTTCAAATTGTGCAACTACAGAAGAGAATGATGGTCAGTTATAACTTCGAAATGGACATCCTCTAAATAATAACGCAATTTCTCAATACTCCAGATGACAGCATTCTTTCTCAGTGACCGTCAGTTTCATCTCCTGGCGGGTGAGAGAACGAGAAAGGTAACTAATAACCTTTTCGCCAGCATCGAAGGTTTGCGTCAGAACCGCTCCCAGACCATAATGAGAAGCATCGGTTTGCAAGACAAATTTGCGTTCGAAATCAGGACAAGTAAGAATTGAGGCTGTGATGAGGGAGTCTTTGATGGAATTAAACGCCCTCTGACAATAGTCCGACCACCTAAACGTAACCTTTTTCTTGATCAAGTTGGTTAATGGTTCCAAGACTGAAGATAAATTTGGCACGAATCCTCGATACCAAGAAGCAGTGCAAATAAAACGACGAATCTCGGTAACACTTCGTGGAGGGGTGATGTTAACAATGGCCTGCACCTTTTCAGGATCCGGTCTCAGGCCATGGGAGTCTAGCAAATAGCCGAGATACTTCATCTCGGGTTTACGGAAATGACACTTGTCTTTCCGAACCACTAATACGGCGCCTTTCAGCCGATCGAACACAAGGGCCAGAATCTTTAAATGTTCTTCAAATCTTTGGGAGATAATGACAATGTCATCCAAGTAAACCACGACGTAATTCTCCAAATCGACCCCCAAAACGCGGTCAATAAGGCGTTGCCATGTGGCAGGAGCATTGGTGAAGCCAAAGGGCATCCTTTTAAAATGATACAGATTTTGACCTGGGACAGTAAAAACAGTAAGTTCTCCAGAAGACTTCTCAAGAGGCATCTGCCAAAAGGCTGATTTAATGTTCAAGGAACTTATGTAACGAGCATTGCGAAGACGATCCAAAATAGCCAAAATATAGGATATTGGGTAAGAATCCTTATTAGTGACGGAATTCAACTTTCAAACATTAATGCAGAAGCGATATGAGTCGTCCTTCTTTCGAACTAAACAAACTGGACTTTTGGATGGTTCGATGACTCTCAGCTTAAGCATCTCGTCGATCTCGGTATCGATCAATTTTTGCTTGAAAGGGGACACCGGATAATAACGCTGCTTAATGGGTTTTACAGCAGGCATAATCTCGATGTTATGTTGAGACACGGTGCAACACCCAAGTCCAGTACCCATGGCAACCATTTTCCCCCTAACGAGCTCATGAAGGAGCAGCTTCTCCTTCTCGGACAAAAGTTGGGCATCGATTGGATTGCAGGAAATTTTAGGTGTTGGATTTCCTGCAGTGCGAAACATCTCGATTCAAATCAGGGATTATCCCCATAGTCTTCCAGAAATACACTCCCAAGATTAAAGAGTGTGACACCTCGGAGAGATACAAAACCTCGACACAATGAGTCTTGCCCCTCAGAGACATGGGGACACAAAAGTAACCAGCACTAGAACATTTTTGGCCATTAGCAACGGTACAAACGCTGTGTTGAGAAATGAGTTTCAGGCCAAGCTCACCAGCACATCATACCCAGACCGACCTACGAGTCCAACAAACCCAACATAGGACAACTCAGGACAGAAATCTCCAAGTAGGGACGCTCGTCGCCATTTGCGTGAGCGAGAATAAAATCGAGAGCAACTCGGCCAGGAAAGAAACAAGAGTCGTTTTTAATGAGAGTTGGTGTAAACTCAGGACGGGAGGTACCCAACCGACCTATTGGGATCTCCGAGGTCCGTTTCCCGAAGCAGGGCAATTCGGACAAGTGGTTAGTGTCACAACCGGCGTAC